GTATCAGATCTCATGAGAACTCATTATCACAAGATGTGAGCCACTGCGCCTGGCTGGGTGTTTGTATATTTTCTTTGGAGAAATAACTGTTTACATCCTTTGCCCATTTTTAAATTGGATTGTCTTTTTATTGTTGAGTTGTAGGAGTTCTTATATGATTTGCCAGTACTTTCTCCTATTTTTTTTGTGTTGTCTTTGCATTTTCTTGATATCTTTTGAAGCACAAAAATGTTTGATGAAGTCCAATTTATCTATTTCTTCTTTTGTTGCTTGTACTTTTGATGTCTTATCTCAGAAGCCATTGGTTGATCAAAAGTCATGACAATTTATGCCTGTGTTTTCTTCTCTGAATTTTGTAGTTTTAGCTCTTACATTGAGGTCTTTGATCCAGCTTGAATTCATTTTTGTACATGGTCTGCGTGGTGTGAGGAAGAGGTTTATCTTCGTTCTTTTTTTTTTTTTTTGAGATGGAGTCTCGCTCTGTCGCCCAGGCTGGAGTGCAATGGCACAATCTCAGCTCACCGCAACCTCTTCCTCCCGGGCTGGATTGCAGGCGTGAGCCACCCAGCCTGGCCCATTTCTCCTTTTTCTAAAAGAGGTCTTTGACACTTCCCTGTCTGTGGTTTTTTTCTTTTTCTGTATCAATTTAATGCAAATCTGAGTCTTTTAAAGTTTAATAGTTTTTTTTTTGAGACGAGTCTCGCTGTGTCGCCAGGCTGGAGTGCCCAGGCTGGAGTGCCCAAGCTGGAGTGCCAGGCTGGAGTGTTGGCTCACCGCAACCTCTGCATCCCGGGTTCAAGCAATTCTCCTAGCCTCAGCCTCCCAAGAAGCTGGGATTACAGGCGCCTGCTACCATGCCCAGCTAAATTTTTTTTTTTGAGACAGGGTTTCACTCTTATTGCCCAGGCTGGAGTGCAGTAGTGCGATCTCGGCTCACTGCAACCTCTGCCTCCTGGGTTCAAGCGGTTCTCCTGCCTCAGTCTCCCGAGTCGCTGGGATTACAGGTGCCTGCCACCACGCCCAGCTAATTTTTTGTATTTTTTAGTAGAGATGGGGTTTCACTATGTTGGCCAGGCTGGTCTCGAGCGCCTGATCTCAGGCAATCCACCTGCCTTGGCCTCCCAAAGTGCTGGGATTACAGGCATGAGACACCACGCCTGGCCAATTTTTATATTTTTAGTAGAGATGGGGTTTCACCATGTTGGTTATGCTGGTCTCGAACTCCTGACCTCAGGTGATCCACCTGCCTCGGCCTCCCAAAGTGTTGAGATTACAGGCGTGAGCCACCGCGCCCAGGCTATCTTCATTCTTTTACACATCAGTATCTAGTTGTACCAGTACTATTGGTTGAAAAGACTATTATTTTATTTCCTTATTGAATTGTCTTGGCATCCTTGTCCAAATTCAGTTGTCCATGAATGTGTGTTTATTTCTATACTGTCAACTCTGTTCTGTTCGTCTATATGTGTTAGTCTATTTTCACACTACTAGAAAGAACTGCCCAAGACTGAGTAATTTATAAAGGAAAGAAGTTTAATTGACTCACAGTTCTTCATGGCTGGAGAAGCCTCAGGAAACTTACCATCATGGCGGAAGGCAAAGGGGAAAGCAAGTTATGTCTTACATGGTGGCAGGCGAGAGACAGAGACAGAGAGGAAACTACCAAACACTTTATTGATTGACTGATTGATTGATTGAGACAGAGTCTTGCTCTGTCACCCAGGCTGGAGTGCAGTGACATGATCTCGGCTCACTGCAACCTCCAGCTCCCGGGTTTAAGTGATTCTCCTGCCTCAGCCTCCCGAATAGCTGGGATTATAGGCACCCACCATCACGCCCGGCTAATTTTTGTATTTTTAATAGAGACGGGGTTTCACCATGTTGCCCAGGCTGGTCATGAACTCCTGAGCTCAGGTGATTCACCCACCTCGGCCTCCCAAACTGCTGGGATTACAGGCGTGAACCACCGCGCCTGGTCCAAACACTTCAAAAGTATCAGATCTCATGAGAACTGATTATCACAAGAAGAGCATGGGGGAAACTGCCCCCAGGATCCTGTCACCACCAGGTCCCTCCCTTGACACATGGGGATTACAGTTGGAGATGAGATTTGGATGGGGACCCAGCCAACCATATCACTATATGTCTATGCTTATGCCAGTTGGACATTGACTTTTGAAACCCAAGTTGCTTGGATGAGCAAGGACCCTGGGGGCAGAAGTGGTGTGTCTTGCGGGAATTCCCCTTTCCTCTGTAGGTTCAGGATTTATCCCAACACTTGACCTGAAAGTTCATTATTATCTAGTCAGTTCTTCCAGACTTTTAAGGTAATGCTTTATTCATTTATTTTATCCAACATTTAAAAAATAGTTTTTAGGAGGAGTTAGTTCTAAAATCCTGTCCCACCAGTATATAAAATAGAATTCAAGCCAAGTGTGGTGGCCCGAGCCTGTTGTCCCAGCTACTCGGGAGTCTGAGGCGAGAGAATTCCTCAAGGCCAGGAGTTCAAAACCAGCCTGGGTGATACAGCGAGTACTCATCTAAAAAAATAAATAAATACAAAGAAATAAAAATGGAATACAAAATTATTTATCTCTAATTATGAAATTCGGGGCAATGTGTCCCTGAGAAGGTATCTTTAGGAAGTAGAGGAATCATTCATGGCATCTTAGAAAAAGACTGTGCTGCTCACTGCTGCTTTTAAAGCCACATTTGTGACCGCTAATAAAAGCAGCTGTTGGTAATTGAGTACTTTATTCCGGTCGAGCTAAGCTTTCTACTGGGGGCATTACGTATACTCTTTGATCTCATGAACACTACCAGCCTTTAAATTATATTTATTTATTTATTTATTTAGTTTTTGAGACGGAGTCTCTCTGTCACCCATGCTGGAGTGCAGTGGCGCGATCTGGGCTCACTGCAACCTCTGCCTCCTGGGTTCAAGCGATTCTCCTACCTCAGCCCCCCGAGTAGCTGGGACTACAGGCATGCGACACCACGGCTGGCTGATTTTTGTATTTTTAGTAGGGTATTTTGTTTTACAAATTAGGATGCTACGAGGGTCAGAAGCTTGCCTGAGGACAGACAGCGATGATGAGTTGTCTTTGACTCGGCCTCAGACCCCTGACTGCAGCGCCGGGCTCTTCACCTCATAGGCTGTCTTCTCCGTGGGAACCCTCAGCGAGAGTACAGGTGTTCGAGGCCCCAGTGTCACAGGCTTCTGTAGTAAGAACTGGAAGCCTAAGCCGGGTGTTTTGCCTGCTCTCTTTCTCCCTGTCCCCCTTGTGGTGGGAACCGGAACCTCCTTACAGGGAGGAACTGTCTGGAGAGTCTTTTCGGATTGTTCTCACAGTTTGAGTGCAGGAACCACAGGGGAAGCACGTTGTAACATTCTGATATCTGGAGTTCAACTCCAGAAAGTCCAGTGCACCAGACAGGGAGGCAGTTGTGCTTGGGACTCTGAAGGTCTGATGTGCTCCCTGGGAGGTCGGTTGCACTTGGTCTCGGACCACACTTTGAGAAAAGCGGGTCCACAGGTTACATTGAAAGTAATTGGGTATGGTGGACTTGTTCTGTCCTCTTCTCTGTTTTTAAAGGGCAGCATGATACTTTTCTGGTGTCTGGGGAATGTCCCTTTATCTTTTAGTTCCCTAAAAAGGTGGAGACTTCAGTGACTTTTAAATGAGAGTTTTGTAAGCACTGTTGTCAGGTAGAGATGAGAACGTTTGATTCAGAACAACTCTGATATTAATAAAATGTAGTATCCAGTAATTTGTTATCAATGACTGTAATTTAGTGGTAGGAGCCTCAACGGAAAAATAAAGTATCTGGTTATTTTAGAGAAGAAAAATCTCAACCTGTCTTTTCCCACCTCCTCCCTCTCCTGCTTTTTCTCAGATTGTCAAGTGGTCAGACTGTTGTTTGCCATTAGCTTGCAGACCTGGGGATCCTTATCGGCTAATTGCTGAAGCAAGTGTGGACAACTTCAGCAAGCTGGGGGTGGCGTTCATGGAAGATAGACTCCACATGGATAATGGACTGGTACCCCAAAAGATTATGTGTAAGTAACTTTAGAAAATGTTTTTATTGGCCAGGCATAGTGGCTTATGCCTGTAATCCCAGCACTTTGGAAGGCCGAGGCAGGAGGATCGCTTGGAGCCCAGGAGCTCGAGACCAGCCTGGGCAACATAGACACCCATCTCCAAAAAAACAAACAAAAAAAATTAGCTGGGTGTGGTGGTGCATGCCTGTGGTCCCGGGTTCTTGGGAGGCTGAGATGGGAGGATCACTTGAGCTGGGAGGTTGAGGCTACAGTGAGCCATGATCATGCCCCTGCATTCCCATGTGGGTGACAAAGTGAGGCCCTGCTTTTATCATAGTGGGACACTATAGGTTATTAGCTTAAGGACTGTTGAGCACTCTTACTGGTATGACGTAAGGGCTATGCTTAGTTTCAGTTTAATTCAGTCAACAGGTTTGATTTTACTATAATAATATACAATTCATACACGCGTCAAGAGTTTTTTGGGGGGCTGCAGGGTACATTTTCAGTGCTTATTAAATTTCTTAAACAAGAATGTTTCATGACTGCATTGCTCATGAGGTGGCATTCAAATTCAGAACCCATATAACATTTATTCCACAGAGTTTAATACAGTATAACTAGTGTCTAGACTATAGTTCTGATTGAGTGGGAAGCATAGCTAGTGTTACTATGAAGTTCTAAATCAAACAGCTTTTTACTTAAAATATATGTATCACAATTTTTTGGGACAGATCGTTTTTCAGGAAACACACAAACTGTTCTTCCTTAATTAGACTTAAAAGCAGGCTTTTTATGTCTATGAATGTCTTCTTTCATCTCATGGGCAAATAAATGTCCTTTATCAGGTCTGGAAGTTCATGTAAATCCCTTAATATCCAGAATCACCTCGTACATGTCTCCAATACCATGTCTGACACGTAGCAAGTGCTTGATAAATGTTTTTGAATTAGTGATTGTCAACTTATGTTCTAGTCCTGAGACAAGATTCTGGGAAGAATCTTCTCCCGTTGATCCTATGGCATGTCCTGAGAGTGACATTTCACTGGGGCGTGCTGGGGTAGACTCTAGATATGTGTCCTTTTTTATTGCTCAGTTTCGTTATTGTAAAGGAGAATAACACCCAAGAAATAAAATCTGTAAGTAAGGAGGCAAAAGCACCTCTCTAAATCTCACTTTCCTCACCATTCCGTAAGAGGGTCTTAGGTTCTCCGATAGGTGTAAAAGATGTTGGGCAAACTGCTGATTTCACTTGGGGTCTTTAGGTAGGAACAGTTAGTGTTTCCAAAGGATGCCCCTGGGTTGAGGGGGGATGCAGGTGGGAGCCGTGCCAGTGACTGTCCTGGAATGTAAGTCCCAGAATGCAGGGAGGGTGATGAGATAATCTTGAGATGAGCTACGTGTCATACAAGAAGTGTTGATTAATTCTCTCCCTCTCTCCTGTTCATGCCTTAGCGGTGCGCTTGCAGGACTCCACTCTGAAGGAAGTTAAGGATCAAGCCTCAAACAAGCAAGCCCAGATCCTAGAGCCGAAGCCCGAACCTTCTCTTGAGATTAAGCCTGAGCGGGACGGTATGGAGCACGTTGGCAGAGATGACCCAAAGGCTCTTGGTGAAGAACCCAAACAAAGGAGAGGCAGTGCCTCTGGGAGTGAGCCTGCTGGGGACAGTGACAGGGGAGGGGGCCCCATTGAGCATTATCACCTCCATCTGTCTAGTTGCCACGAGTGTCTGGAACTTGAGAACAGCACCATTGAGTCAGTCAAGTTTGCATCTGCCGAGAACATTCCAGACCTTCCCTACGATTATAGCAGCAGTTTGGAGAGTGTTGCTGATGAGACCTCCCCTGAAAGAGAAGGGAGAAGAGTCAACCTCACGGGAAAGGCACCTAACATCCTCCTCTATGTGGGCTCCGACTCCCAGGAAGCCCTCGGCCGGTTCCACGAGGTCCGGTCCGTGCTGGCTGACTGTGTGGACATTGACAGTTACGTTCTCTACCACTTGCTGGAGGACAGTGCTCTCAGAGACCCGTGGACGGACAACTGTCTGCTGTTGGTCATTGCTACCAGGGAGTCCATTCCCGAAGACCTGTACCAGAAGTTCATGGCCTATCTTTCTCAGGGAGGGAAGGTGTTGGGCCTGTCTTCGTCCTTCACCTTTGGTGGCTTTCAGGTGACAAGCAAGGGTGCACTGCGGAAGACAGTCCAGAACCTGGTTTTCTCCAAGGCTGACCAGAGCGAGGTGAAGCTCAGCGTCTTGAGCAGTGGCTGCAGGTACCAGGAAGGCCCCATCCAGCTCAGCCCTGGTGGGCTCCAGGGCCACCTGGAGAATGATGACAAGGACAGGATGATTGTGCATGTGCCTTTTGGAACTCACGGGGGAGAAGCTGTTCTTTGCCAGGTACTCAGGGCAGCATGGATTTGGCGATCTTTGGGTATCTGTGGGTATCTTTGAGAGGGAATATGTCTTTTAAAGCTACACGCTTACAAGTTTCAGGAGCTCGTGTGCTGTGCGCTGTTTTTGACTGTTGGCTGGGAGCTTTTGCTGATAGTAAGCGGAAAGTTTAGTTTAGTTTAGGGCTTTCTTGAATACCCTGATGAACCAAAAGACTTGTTAAATGAGCTTGCTGGTTAACTGAGGCTTAGTCAGAAAATTCTTGTTTTGTTCTTTACTAGTAATGATCTTTCTCAACTACATCGGTCTGCTTTCTTGCCCTAGAGCACTCCTTGGTTAATATAATTGATCCTTTATTTAATGTAGGAAGTTGAAACCATCAGGGTAGTGATTCTAGACGTCAGTGACCACTGCAATGAAATACTGTAGTTGATTGCCAAGGTAGTTTGTGTTAAAAGCATCTTCAGATTCCCAATTCCTTCCTTATGTTTTGTCACTCTTCCAAGTGCTGAAGAAAAACTTGAAATAAGAGAATATTGAAGCTACTTAGATTTGTGGCATACTAATACATAGGTAGGGGAAAAATGGAAAGAGGATGAAAGGAAAATGCTAATTTCTTTTTCTTGCTTAGGAGATCCTTTGGCTCTTTTTTTTTTTCCCCTTATTCCATCTTCTTTTTCCTTTTAGCTTTTTGTTTGTTTAAGCAAATGGTGGCAGATGGACTATTTCAGAATTCCTTATCATTGACTCCAAATCTTTTAATCCTTAGGGGAAAAGGTTTTCATTAGAGTTAGATGAACGTTCACTTGTCCTTAAGGATTTAATGCTCTAAGGAGAAATTAAGCAGATGTAGATATTTTGTTCAGGAGAGTTCCCAAGATAAGTGTCATCGATTTTGTTTTATTGTAGGGATCTTTTACTGAGTTAGAGAATTGTTTCTTTTTTGTTTTGTTTTCATTTTGTAATGCCCTGTCTTTTTCCAGTTCTCCTGGAAGCTAAGTCTCTTGAATTTTCTGGCCAAACATTTTTTCCAGGGAGTATATATTTGTTTCTTTACTACACCTACATTTTAAGCAGAGATGCTTAAAATTAAGGAATTCGGACATTAGGACAGATGAACGCATACAACCCAAGCAGGTTTCCTGCAGTGCTGCAGACCACATGAATTAGCATTTGGAGGCGTAATAAATGTTCCTCTTATCTTTTTCTCTGCAAATATGGTAACTATAGTAACGCATATTCTCAGAAAATCCACTTAAAAACCCAACTTCCTAGAGCCATATTTCAGTTTTGAAGAGTGAATTTTACCACCCCTGAGCACAGACTTGTACTAGAAAATTGATTTGGCACTGTTGTGATTCATTTCTCTGAGTTACGTAGCAAATCTGCTTGCTGCACCATTTAAATTGACCCCATTACTATCATAAAATTTGATACTGCAGTGTATTGCCCTAGGAAAAAAAGGCAATATGATGCAGCTTCACAAATCAGATTCAGAGGATTAGAATGTCATTTTTGATTTTAAATGACTTCCAGTCTTCTGTGTGACAGGGTCACAGTTTTCTCCACAGGCCTGTGTCTCTGTGATACCTTACTGAGATCAAAAAATAAATATTATCACAGGCTGGTTAGTTTCCTCTTTCCCTGTTCAATTTCATAGTCTTCACCTTTGTAATAAATCTAGTAATGATGTAACCCAATAAGAGGAGGTAAAGTATTTCAAGGGCAGAACACAGCTGCACCCTAGGCACTGGTGTCCCAGCCAAGGAAGCTGCAGATTTGATGCTTTTGCCATTCATCATAATAAAGAAAGAGAGGAAATGTTTGTATTTTCGCTGTACTGATCAAGTTTGCAGGGAAAACTTGAGGCTGTGGATTAATGCTGACATTTGGCTGTCAAATAGACCAGGAGTTTGCCATAAAGTTGTCCACAGAAAATCTCTAAAATGGATTTTAAAAGATTTTGTTTTCTTGTTTAGCTTAGCACATGGCAGCAGTGGGTGGCCTTTGATGGCAGAGTTTCTCAACCATGGAACTATTGACATTTTGGGTCAGAGAATTCTTCGTGATGAGAAACAGTCCTGTGCATTTTCGGCTGCGGAGAAGCATCCCTGGTCTTTCCCCACTAGATGCCAGTATCACCCTCTCCCCGCATTTGTGGCTGGAGACATTTTTTAAGTTCTGGTTTTCGTTCCAACTAAAAAGTCTTATTTTTACAGGAAGGCCAAGTTACAGAAATAGACCTGTCATTATGGTAACAGGATTACACCCAGAGGATGAGACTCTAGTCCAGTACCTCTGTGGACAAGGAGTAGAAATCTGCCACCCACACACTCTGGCGTGCCATTTCTCCCTGCTCATTGGGAGCGTAGAACCAGAGGTGGCCTCTTTTCTGGTTTCCATTGTAGAAGCACCTACATCTTGAAACCATAAGACAGTGAAACCAAGCAGTTCTCGGGATTTCAGCAGCCGTCTTCCTCCTTGTCTCTGGGAACTCCGCCCGCTTGTAGCGCCGTCCTGTTTTCCGTCCTGGCATTGTTCTCATGTGAAAATGAGTTCATATAATTCACTGCGTGTGCGTCTTGGCTACTCTGTGTATTTGCCCTGACCAGCGAGTCCACACGCATTCAGTCGAGCACCTCTCTCATCCCTTCGGCTCTGGTGGGAACAGAACTTGACTTACTTCATTTCTGCCACCTGTAAGGGTTAATCTCCGGAATAGCCGTGTGCTCAAGTGAATTAAACGGGTCCTGCCACTGTGCTGTTTGTCTACATTGGCGTAACTTTGTCCACCAGAGGGGAAAGGTGCACATTTAAGGTAGAAGCGTACTGAGTAGGATACGGATTTTTTATTTTTATTTTTTTTGAGACGGAGTTTCATTCTTATTGCCCAGGCTGGAGTGCAGTGGCACATCTCGGCTCACTGCAGCCTCTGCCTCCTGGGTTCAAATGATTCTCTTGCCTCAGCCTCCCAAGTAGCTGGGATTACAAGCATGCACCACCAGGCCTGTCTAATTTTTTTTTTTGTATTTTTAGTAGAGACGGTTTCACCATGTTGGTCAGGCTGGTTTCGAAATCCTGACCTCAGGTGAGGATACGGATTCTTTAGAGGGTTTTGCTTTTCTGCCTCTTCCCCTCTCCCGGGCTATCTAGAAACAGGCCCACCTGACCTGTTGCCCCCGATCGGCGTCCTCGGTCTTAGAGGAAGCAGCCAGCCTGCAGCCAACCAGCTGTGGTTTGGGGACCATGTTGGACGGTGTCCTGCAGACCTTTTCTGATTGGCCTCAACCTTTATTTTTTGAGCCAGAGGCTCACTCTGTCACCCAGGCTGGAGTACACTGGCACGATCTCAGCTCACTGTAACCTCCACCTCCCAGGTTCAAGTGATTCTTGTGCCTCAGCCTCTCAAGTAACTGGGATTACAGGCATGCGACACCACGCCTAGCTGATTTTTGTCTTTTTAGTGGCAATGGGGTTTCGCCGTGTTGGCTGGCTGGTCTCAAACTCCTGGCCTCAAGTAATCCTCCCGCCTCGGCCTGCCAAAGTGCTGGGATTATAGGGGTGAGCCACCACACTCAGCCAGGCCTCAACTTTTAACATTTGGTTTAGTATTTGGCTTGGTTAAGGTGTGGGTGGGAACTGAGAGATTTTAAGTCACCTAAAAGCTGGCACTATGCTTTTTATTTTCATAATACTTCTATAGTATCAGGCTAGAAGCTTTGCATACAGTAGGCAAAGCTGAAACAAAATAAGGCAGACGAGCTCAGTTTGCTTTTCTGGGTACTCAGTGTTCTGGCAACCTCCAGGCTCCAATGCTCATTGAAAATCTGATCTCAGGGGAGCTAGAGGTTCCAGGAAGTTCCTTCATCCCAAGACAGAGGCTGTTGATAGGTGGAGATATTTTAATTTTTAACTAGACAACAAAGCCTGAAGTAACTAGGTGAAGTTCCAAATCTTAAAATTCAGTCAGGGGAAGGAGGGTGGGAGGAAAGGCCTTTCTGGTGTCCAAGAAATCCTACTCCTCCCTCAGTAAGTCCTCACTTAACGCTGTTGATAGGTTCTTGGAAACTGCACACTTAAGTGAAATGACATACAATGAAACCAATGTTACCATAGGCTAATTGATAGAAACAAGAAGTCAGTTCCCATGGCGTATTTCTGGTCACAAAGACATCACCAGACTTCTAAATAAAGGACAAAGCACTGAAACACTGAAATAAATATGAGTTATATGTACATTTAAGAAAGATTAATAAAAGCATAAGATAATTATTTACCTGATTATTTCAGTTCAGCATGGTGGGTGGCCGTGTGGCTGGAGCTCAGCCTGGAAGCTCAGGGCACTGGTTGGGGAGCCAGCCCTGACCGGGATGCCCACCCATCGCAGGGCACGCTCATACCTGCACTCACACTTGCTCAGACCAGGACCCTGTAGACGCATCAGTTCACCTAATGTGCGCAGCTTGGGGATGTGGGGGAAAATGGAGAATCTGGAGAAAACCCGGGCAGACATGGGGAGAGTTTGCAGATCCACAGAGAGTGGCCCCGGCTGGGAAGTGATTTCTTTTTCCCCTCATCAACATCATAACAAAATGACTTTGAGTGAAACAACATTATTCAAGGACCTGATGTTTTGAACTCCTGCAAACTCTCTCTCTTTTTTTTTTAAATGGTCGCACTCTGTTGCCCAGGCTGGAGTGCAGTGGCACGATCATGGCTCACTGCAGCCTCAACCTCCTGAGTTCAAGGGATCCTCCCAGCTCAGCCTCCCAAGTAGTTGGGACTACAGGTGCACCACCCACACCTGGCTAATTTTTGTATTTTTTGTAGAGACAGGGTCTCACTGTGTTGCCCAGGCTGGTCTGAAACTCCTAGGCTCAAGCAATCCTACCATCTCGGCCTCCCAAAGTGTTGGGATTACAGGTGTGAGCCACTATGCCCAGCCTTCTGCAAACTCTCTTAAAATGATGAATAAGGCTGCTCTCTTCCCAGGTATTGTTTTCCATTTATGGCTAGTAGGCCAAATGGAAGTTTCCAGCATGAGCCATTTGCCTCCCTGAGCTCACTAGCAATTAGGTTTTCAGCACAGCTGTCTTTCTAGGTTTTTTTTTTTTTTTTGAAATGGAGTTTTTGTTCTTGTTCCCCAGTTTGGAGTGCAATGGCACGATCTCAGCTCACCGCAACTTCCGCCTCCTGGGTTCAAGCGATTCTTCTGCCTCAGCCTCCCGAGTAGCTGGGATTACAGGCACATGCAACTACGCCTGGCTACTTTTGTATTTTTAGTAGAGACAGAGTTTCTCCATGTTGGTCAGGCTGGTCTTGAACTCCCGACCTCAGGTGATCCGCCTGCCTTGGCCTCCCAAAGTGCTGGGATTACAGGCATGAGCCACTGCGCCCGGCCCTAACTATTTTGTTCCTATAACCGAGTTAAGTAACTTGCAGAAGGTCATATGACTGATGAGTGTGGAACATGGAGAGAGATGATGACTGTACAGGGTCATTTCCACCATGGCCTCTCTGCCTGACAACCAGGATTTGAACAGGCTCTTTGGAATCATTTTCTTGTTGGCCATGACTTTCTAGATATTCAGCTTCAGAGTTTATATGCTATTGATAATTAGAAAAATTCGGGTTGAAGTTTTCTCTATTGGGTTATACTGTGTCCCTTAATTTTCAGAGGAGAGCAAAGCTATGAGCTATCTGGGTATGATGTGCTCACTTGGAGAAGAAAACTGGTAAAGACATTTTTTGGCCGGGTGCGGTGGCTTATACCTGTAATCCCAGCACTTTGGGAGGCTGAGGCGGGAGGATCGCTTGAGCCCAGGAGTTCAAGACCAGCCTGGGCAACACAGTGAGATCCTGTCTCTAAATTAAAAAAAAAAGGAAAGAAAAAGAAAGAAGAAACTGTTTTTCTTATTGCCCCCAGTTTATATAGTGCTATGTTTTCCCTTCAGGTGCACTTGGAACTACCTCCGAGCTCCGACATAGTGCAAACTCCAGAAGATTTTAACTTGCTTAAGTCAAGCAATTTTAGAAGATATGAAGTCCTTAGAGAGATTCTGACAACCCTTGGCCTCAGCTGTGACATGAAACAAGTTCCTGCCTTAACTCCTCTTTACTTGCTCTCGGCTGCGGAGGTGAGTTGTGGGCTCAGCCGGGCAGAGCGCGCCACGACGTGGCCCTCTTCACAGTGGCGACCCGTTGCCTTAATTGTTTTATTTTGGTTGGTTTTGATTTTTCATTTCTGTTTTGACTTCGGGTTTGGAAATCATCTTCAAGATGTGCAAATATTCATTTTGTAGGGGGAGGGTTATATATAAGGGAGGGGTGACTGGTAGAGTTTAGAAAGGTGTTAAGTCTGTAGGTGTGGCCCTATCCGCGTTGTGGGGAAGAGGGTCCCTGTGTCAAGAGTATATTCAGAAACTGTAATTTTATTCATTTGGGATTGAAAGCATTTGTTTTGATTTGGGCTGCTTTCAGCAAATCTTTGGAACAATCACATTTGTGCTAATGTCTGCCATCTTGTGGCAACAGCGCTCTGGGTTTCACGTCTGTGAGTCGTGTCTAACAGGAAAATGCCCACGGAACTGGGAATGCGTTCGGCAATTCTCGTGGCCAGTGCCTGCACTTGCTGCCTGTGATTGATACCTGGTTTTGGGCCGGTTGCCAGATTCTCCAGGTGTGTGTTCTTACTAATCCCCCTGCTCGGCCATGCTGTCAGTTCCATAGTCATTGTGACAAATTATTTTGTCTATTTCTGTTGTCTTCTCTGAACAGACAAATTTGTGAGTTTAGTGACATGACCATGTAGTTTCTGCAAACATCCAATAGTCTAGGTGACTTTAAACACTAAACTTACCTACTTTCTCTTGAAACAAACAAATTATACCTCTCATCCCAACATTTTTTAAAAAGGAGGCACTTTCTTTTGTGTTACACTGTGTCCCTTAGTTTTTGGAGGAGAGCAGAGCTGTGAGCTATCTGGGTGTGATGGGCTCACTTGGAGAAGACAGATGGAAAATCTGACAGCACTGCCACTCCCCTAGACCTTTGCTGTCAGTCTTTTCCTGGGAATGGAGGGCTGGGGCTGGCTACCTTAGCGAGTGCCTGCTCTGAGGCTGGGGAAGTCAGGGAGTGAGGTGGCTTGGCCTTGCCCTTGGCACAGCTCCCTGCCCTTTCTCAGAGTTCAGATCATGCTGGTCTTCGAACTTGACCTCCGGACTTTCGGACAGAGCAGTGGATAGGAAGAGCGGCCCCGCCCCTGGTTATTCTCCTATGAGTGGAAGTTTGGAACTCTTGGCATTTCTGGTGTATTTAGGATGAGTATAACCTGAAATACCCAAGTCGGGGCTTTGTATCATGTGTCTGCTTATATTCAAGCACACAACAGACGTTTCACGCTTTTGTCCTTCTAGTTTTTTAAACAGCCTGGGGCAGTGGGAGGTGATACATTTTCACCTGTTCATTGATCAATTAAGGGAGTATTCTTTTCCCGCTTCACAAACTTTGGGAATGAAATGCTTGAACATGATTAAAGCAAATATTTGCTCTGTATACACATACATGGACACTCCCTACCAAGCCCCTTATTACATAATAACTTTGGAAAATAATTATTTTCAGAAATGTTCACTTCCTATTTTGGGCCCTCCACTTGGCCTTGTTGATTTTCTTGAATATCTGTACTGTGGACTACTTTCCTCTCAGCTACTTATTTCTGACTGAATTCTGCTTTACTTTGGCAGCCCAAGGAATGGAATGAGTATGTGTATGCTGTACATATCCTCATTTCTTAATGTTTATTTTTAGTTTTTGAGGCAGGGTCTTGCTCCGTTGCCCAGGCTGGAGTGTAGTGGTGTGGTCACGGCTCACTGCAGCCTCAACCTCCCAAGCTCAAGCGATCCTCCCACCTCAGCCCCCCCGAGTAGCTGGGACTACAGGTGTGCATCACCATGCCTGGCTAATTTTTAATACTTTTTGTGGAGACAGGGTTTTGCCATGTTGGCCAGGCTGGTCTTGAACTCCTGAGTTCAAGCAATCTGCCTGCCTTGGCTTTCCAAAGTGTTGGGATGACAGTCGTGGCATGCCCGGCCTCTTAACGTTTATTAACTCTGCTTAGGTGTCCTTGAATCTGCTGGAGAAGGAAATGGCAGAATTCAAAGTTTTATATGATGTCTTCTTGGAATATAAATTCTCTAAAGGATGATGGTGCAAATGAATTTGAAGGTGGATATGCACTGCCTGAGATGGCCTTTCCGGAGGCAGCTGAATTCCTCCTGTACCTAGTCACTGTGCTATGGGTCAGTATTTATAGATCTGGACCACAGAGACTGGGAATGGAATTGGGTTTGTACTTTATATTTGGTTTTCTTTCCAGCATCCCTACTTAACAGATCTCAGTCATCCCCATGGAATTAAGTTCCATGGAGAGGATCTTGGCACCCAGTCATCTGCTGAATCCTGCCTGTCCATTCGGCTTATCACCTGCCTTAGGGATTGGATGCTTGGGCTGGCTTTCTTCTTCCTGTGCCCTGCAAGATACTCTGTTGCCAGGAATCAAAGATCTCTTACCACAGGGTGTCGCTGCTGAGCTAGGCTGCCTGGCATACAGGCCCCTAGAACTATGAAGTTGTTCTTCAGAGATTTAATTTTTTTCTCTCTATATCAGTTTCACATAGTATAATTTTATAGCTTTCCATTATATTGGTGGCACTTTCTTTTGGGTCTGCAGAAATCGTTTCAATGTCCCAGTTAATAATATTCATCTTTCATTCAACATTTACTGTGTCCTAGGTACTATTATAGTATGGGATATGAAAGAGCAAAATAAATACGCTAGTTATCTAAATAGTTATACTGCGTAGCAGCTGTGTTTACACAGTTCTGTGCCTTGACACTTGCTCTTTATGACGAATAGCGCAGAAGATTTATGTGCTTCTCTGTTACTGTGATATAACTGGAAAGAATAGCACCAAGACCCAAGGAGAAAAAACACTCGCCTCAACGACAGTCAGCCCTTGGCATTTGTGAAGGATGTGCTCTGAGGCCTTCATCGATACCCAAACACCGTGGTAGCGTGTGATTCCCACTATAAAACCCAGTCATGTGTGACTTCATCAGCGTCACTGTGCACGACACCAAGGGGAAGCAGGGCTTGGCTGATGTGCAGACTCTGGGCGGCTGAGCTGGGCTTTCTCCGACCAAGGCTTTCACATTTAATTGAACCTCCCAGGAGCGGGATTGAAATTTGGGTCTCAGCAAAATGACAAAAAGTTAAACCATAAAACAAACACACCAACACATGTTTACCACACACCTATCTCCGTGGAAAGAAGACTGGGCCAGGTGCAGTGGCTCACGCCTATAATCTCAACGCTTTGGGAGGCGGAGGCAGGTGGATTGCTTGAGCCCAGGAGTTCGAGACCAGCTTGGGCAACCTGGCAGACTTTTGTATTCTTTACAAAAGATACAAAAATTAGCCAGGCATGGTGGCGCATACCTGTAGTCCCAGCTACTCAGGAGGCTGAGGCAGGAGGATTGCCTGAGCCAGGGAAGTTGAGGCTGTAGTGAGCTGTGATTGCGCCACTGCACTCCAGCCTGGGCAACAGAGAGTGAGACCTTGTTGCAAAAAGGAAAAAAAAAAAAAAAAAAAAAAGGAAACAAGACTGGAAGGAAGGCAATCTGGTATATATAGGATGTATTTCTGATGGAGTGCTTAAGGGTGATTTTAATAATCTTTTAAAACTTTCTCTGTATTTTCCAAATTTTCTATAATGATTGTGTATAGAATAAGCCAAATTAGTTATTTGTTATTAATTACTTTATAATGAGCCAGATTAGTTATTAAAAACTGAAAACAAGTGACTGCATGTCGCTGAACTTTGAAGGCATCTCACACATGGTCACACTTGAACGTTAAGAGGCAGGGAATCTCATGTAAGTGTCGATACTTTGGTTAATATTAATATTTGACATATTATTTAGAAAGGGTTTGCTTTGATAGTAAAACACGTGACTCTTGTTCATGGCCTGTGACAGCTGTGACTCCCAGGGTTAACTGTGAGCTCTGAGTTGGTGTGTAGGGGCCTCTGAGCTGAAGCTCTCCCTTTGCTTCTGTGGGTGGTACAGGTACCCCTGAGTGCCCTACCACTGCGTGGATGTTCCAGTTTCTCGGCAGAGCCCTTTGAACTGTTTCTCCAAAACCATATATATGGGTACCTCTCCATGGCTTCCTCTCTGCAGATGTTGGTGGGTGAGAGACTGATACACCACATGACTCACTGTGGGGTGTCCTGGGTGAGATCACCTGGTGGCCACCACATCTTCCGCCACCAGTGGGTGACAGGCAGTTAGCAGCAATACATCTTTACTGTGCTGGGACCTGAGTGTTTTCGAAAGACACTGATTTTATAGAAGAAACATAATTCTTTCCCTTACAGAATACCAGAAAAAACATAATTCTTTTATATTTTATAGAAACATTTTAACAGATTTTATTTCTATCAAATCCGATGTTATAGAGAAAACATCATTCTTTCCCAGTTGAGAAGCTAGCTGCATTGTTTCTGTTTCTCTGGGTTCCATTTTCCATTTTATCTCTGCCAGAGCAATGGCAGAAAGAAAGAGCACAGGCTGCCACGCTCTGCAGGGTCTCACGGGGAGTGGCAGCTGGTGGGTTGGGACTGGCTGGGGCCTGAACCTGTGTGTGTGACAGAGCCAGTCCCCCACCCTCCACCCCTGCAGAGTTGCCTGCCAGTGGGTCCCTTTTTATCCCCCCACTGAGGCCAGAGGAAGCAGCATAGGGTGGGATGTGCCACCCCCAAGAAGGTCAGCACCTTTACCTTGGGGAACTGGATGTGCCACCCCCAGGAAGGTTGGCACCTTCCCCTTGGGGAACTAGAGAGCTTGTGCATTGCTCCCGTAGCCTGGGACATCCGCTTAGGATCTGGGGAGCACAAGATTTTTTCCAAAATGAAAAAGCTTGGGAACCTTGTGGGTGTTCATCGTGGCCAACAATGGCTAATGGTGTGTAGGTGACTTGAGAAATAGAAGCCGGCTGGACTCTTAGCAGGGGTCCTGCGTCCAGTTACCTTACCCTTGGGATCAAGATGTAGCTGTCGCAAGAAGCGACAACTGA